TTCCTTCCTTCCTTCCTTCCTTCCTTCCTTCCTTCCTTCTTTCTTTCTTTCTTTCTTTCTTTCTTTCTTTCTTTCTTTCTTTTTGTGGTGCTGGGGATTGAACCCAGGGCCTTGTGCATGTGAAGCAAGCACTCTAGCAACTGAGCTATTCCCTAGCCTAAAATTCTCTAATTTCTCTATCTTCTCTTTTGCCAACCTTGTTGGACAGGAAATGTAGGCAGTCAAATGTGATCACAAATTTTCTAAAGGGAAAAGGAAACACATGGTCTTTTGCCTTTTGTGGTATGACATTATGTTATTTTCCCAATTACCATTCAATCAAACCTGCTTCGTTTGGTCTGACACAGATTCTCAAGCATAGTGGCAGTAAAACTGTATAAATGTTTATAACAGCCTTTCTCACCCCATCAGTGGATGAAGAGGGCTTCTTAGTCACAAGCAAGGTCAAGCTGGAGAAATTTTAGATAAAGTCTATAATCTCAAATTCAGAAGGGATGGGGGAGGAAATTACAGAGAAGAAAATGAATCATGTCACTGGGTTGCTCCTGACTTCTCTCCTGACTTTATCTTTATGTTTCTAGGTTGGAGCCTCTCTCTTCGCCAATAACATTGGAAGTTACCGTTTTATGGGGCTGGCTGGGACTGGAGCAGCTTCAGGGATCACCACTGGGGCTTTTGAATGGAATGTAAGTAGCATCAGTGTTACTGTGTTGTAGAAGTGGAAAAGAACCTGTACTGTTTGAGTTACTATTATGAAATACCAAATGTAAGCTAAGTTTATGAAGATGGGGTTTATTCAGCTCATGGTTTTGAAAGTCAAAAGTCCAAGCAGCATGTTACAGGTCCTTGTAAGGGACCCACTTGACTGTGGCATCTCCTGGTGGAAGACAATAGCAGCATTGTGTGAGAGGTAATATCACCCAAAATAAGAAGTCAGAGAGATGGGTGGGGCCAGAGTCAGGCATTTATAACACTTTCTATAACTACCAAGGGGTCACTCCAGAACTACCTTAATCTATTCCATGAGCAGCACCCACAGTGACCTAAGAACTTTATACTATGCTCCACCTCATATTATGTTCCACCACCTCCACCATGCTGAGGACTAAGCCTCTAATACATGAACCTTTAGGGGAGATGCTAAACAATAACCAAACTATAGCAGAACCTTAGCACTTAGCCAGGTCAGTCTGTGTCCAGAGCAGATTGAGATAGAACCCAACTGCTCAGAGCCATCCTGGGATGCAGATGGAGGAGCATGGTTTTAGGAGCCCAGGCGTTCTGCTTTCCTTCCACCAGAGTAGCATGAGAGATACACTGAAGGATAGTAAGAATATTTTTTCTCTTTCCCTTTGGTGTTAAAAAGATGAGGTCCCAGACCTTTCTAACCATGTTACAAGTTTGGAAATGCTTATCCCCAATTATTATTATTCTCTTTTTTATTAATTTATTTATCTATTCTAATTTGTTATACATGATGTCAGAATGCATATATATATATATATATATAAAACACATATAGAGCACAATTTTCAAGTCACTGATTGTACACAAAGTATTTTCACACCATTCATGTCTTCATACATGTACTTAGAGTAATGATGTCAACTCATTGCACCATATATTATTATTATTCTCTAGATGGTATTTTATCCCCGTGTAATATAGGGAAGAGTCAAAGGAGATCTCAGTCCTTTGGCTGGAGCCCAGGGCTGTGATGATAGCAATAGCTTCCTGGGCTCCCTCTGCTGTTGCGCAGTTTCTGTTTCTTTGGGCCAATTGGGAAACTAAGGCATCCTACAGTCTCTAATGGCCACCTAAGTGTTGCTCTTCAATCCAAAAAAGAAAGGGATGGGGGAGTTTTTTGCAGCAGCTGAAGGGTCCTTCAGGTAAGTAGAGATGGGTTAAGTTTCCTCCTGATTTGAAGCCACCTCTTGTTTTGGTTTCAGGCCCTGTTTTTGTGGTTGTGCTGGACTGGGTGTTTGTTCCCATTTACATCAAGGCTGGGGAAAGTACCCACTCTGTTATTCCATTTCCTGGTGACAAATATATATGTGACTTTGATTCTTCTGGGGGACAGAGGAGACTCAGTGGAATAAATGGCAAAGATAACCTGTGTTTGCTTTTAGTTCTAGATTGTAAAATATTTCCTGGCTTTCTGTTGTGGCACTGAACAGCACCCCTGGCTCTTTTCTGTTAAGACTCATGACTCTTCCCTCTGAGAAGGTTTCCTAAGAAATACCACACTAATTGAACTCGTCTGAAACATCCTGCTCCCTCACTCTGGGTGTGTCCCTGTACTACCTGGCCATGCATTTGCTCTTGATGTACAACTATGTCAAGTTTCTGACTCTAGAAAGGAAACAGATTGAGAAAAAGAACTGAGTTTTCTCTTTATTCATGTATATCAGTAGTTCTTATTTGCTGAGCATGCAGCAACTATCAAATGCATGCTTGGTATCCTGATTGAGTCTCTCTGACATTTTACATAGGGTATCTTTAGTATCACCTGTTCAGTGAGATATACTGAGCACCTCCTTTGTGTAAATGTGGGGAAAATAGGGACGGTACTACATCTTCTGGAGACTCACAGATTGATGGTAACACATGTTTTGTCCCAGAGGACAACGATCTTAGGGCAGAGGTGTGATTAGAATTTGCAGGAAGGAACTGAGAGAACATTTGAGCAGACTTATAGCTATAATCCTTGGCACTGCCTATGTGAAGAGCATGTTGTAGATCACATCCAGCCTAGTTTACTAGTTTAGTACACTGGCAAGATGCCATCAATGTTATGATGTCTTGTTTTTCAGTAGGTGCTCCATATAGGAATATATCTGCCTATGACTTGTTTTCAGTAGATGCTCTATAGAGGAATATAGCTCTCTATATATAGATATATCTATATACATTTCCCCTCCTCTCCAGGACAAGGATCTGCTTCCTTAGTTGAGTCCAGTTATGTATTCATTCAAAAACAGGTGTTTATTTGGCACTTTCTATGTTCTGGGATAATGCCTAGCTACTCCTATAGTGGTAGGTCAGGTGAGATTGAAATGAGCAAATGGCTGAATGTCTATGGTCATCTGGCCACTCTGAAGACTTCCCAGGCCAACAAGGACAATGAATCCTTGACCATACTATTATGACTCTAACACCAAGATGGCTCTCATTTTTTCTGTGTTCTCTGGGCTCTCTGGTCACTCTAGCTGGTGATGACCTCTCTTGCATTCCTTGCAGGTAGTGACAATGCCAGAGTACCTGCGGAAGAGGTTTGGAGGCAAGCGGATCTAGATTTACCTTTCTGTTCTGTCCCTGCTGCTCTATATATTTTCTAAGATCTCGGTGAGTACGCTGCACTGTGGACTGGTCCCTGGCTGCCTCAGAAGCTGCCCACTGTCATTCACCAAGAGGCAGCTCTATGTGTCTCTATGAACTTGGTTCCATAAGCTTTCTTGCTGCTCAGGGCAAAATCCTGTTTCATGCATCAAAGAGCCAGTGAAGTTTAGTGGAACTCCTTGTTCCCCACTGTGGCACAGGTTGGAAACAAAGCAGGTTTACAAAGTTTCAGTGGAAGCTGTTCTTATTAGAAGACAAAGATGGAGTTAAAGAATTAAAATGCCATATGATTCAGCAATTCCACTTCTGGGTATACATTCAAAGGAAATGAAATAAATATGTCAAAAAAAAATACCTGCACTCCCACACTAATTGCAGCATGATTCACAATAGTCAAGACATGGAATCAACCTAAGTGCCCATCAACAAATGAATGGGTACAGTAAATGTGGTATATGTACACACAATAAAGTACTATTTAGTTCTATTTTAATTTTTTTATTTATATATGACAGCAGAATGCATTCTATTTAGCTCTTTAAATAATGAAAAGAACTTTTTATTGTGACAATATGATGAACCTGGAGGATATTATGTTAAGTGAAATAAGCTGAACACAGAAAAATAAAACCACCTAATCTGAAAAATAATGTTACCAGAGGCTGATGGGGAGGGGTAATCTTGGTCTAAGGATGGAAAAGTTCAGGTAACTGGAGAAATAAGTTCAAGAGATCTACTGTACAACATGGTGACCACAGTCAATGATAACATGTTGTATATACTTGAGAATTGCTAAGAAAGCTGACTTTAACTGTTCTCACATAAACACATATTGGGAGGTAATACATATGTGAACTGACTCTATTGAACCATTAAGTAATGTACACCCATTTCAAAACATCATGGTTTACAGGATAAACATGTTAAATATTTATTACTCAATTTAAAAAAAGGGGGAAGTTAAGGACATCTAATGACTGGTCTCAACCTGAGGCAACCATAAAAATTTGTGTCCTATCAGGTTAAAATCTGACTCCATGTGATATTTCTGAGGCTGTTCAACATAGACAGTCAATACCAATTTTGAAAGGGAACAGTGACATTCTTTGTTAATTGATAGTTCTATTTTCTGTGCTATAACTGAATACCACAGACTTGGTCAATTATAAAAATAGAAGTTTACTTGTCTTCTCATGTATCTGGAGACTGGAAAGCCTAATATCAAAAGGCCTTCATTTGATGAAGACTTTAACAGAACAAGACAGAGTAAGTGTATGTTAGCTCATATCTCCCTTCCCTGGTCACAGGGGCTGGCCCTGATGACCTTATCTTATCCCAATTTCCTCCCAAAGGCTCCACCTCCAAATAATATCAAATACTATCACATGGTTTTGAGGACTAAGTTTTACATGAGTTTTGAAGAAGAGATATGCAATCCTTTGCAAAAGGGGAATGAAAAAACCTGGAGATGTAAAGTACTTCTCAGAATCCTGTATCAGGAATAAAAACCAGCTCTGTGTACCTTAGTTCACTGTCCTTTTAACTGCATGAGGCTCCTAGTATTCACTTGGAATCAGTTCCCTGGACCTTTCATTGCTAAACCTCTGGGGGACTTTTATTCTCTCTAAATCCAACCACTGGGATGCTCCCAGTAGTGGCCCTTTAAGCTACCCTCCCTGCCAGCCTAGAACTGCAGGCTCCAGTTTGAGATTTCTCAGGGATTGGCTGGCCACTGGGCACATTTGAAAGCTGGGAAGATCTTTTGACGGGCCTACTGGAACAAGCCTCCTCTTCCTTCCTCACTTCACTTTTCCTTTCTTGGAAGTGTTCAAGTCCATTCATCATGAAGGTAAAACAAAACCAAGCAAAAATCCAAAAATAAAACAAAGCATGGAGCTGGGGATGTGGCTCAAGCGGTAGCGCGCTCACCTGGCATGCGTGCGGCCCGGGTTCGATCCTCAGCACCATATACCAACAAAGATGTTGTGTCCGCCGAGAACTAAAAAATAAATATTAAAAATTCTCTCTCTCTCTCTCTCTCT